CAAGTAAAAGCCGAGATTGAGCGGGCTTTTTGAGAAAAGTTTCTGATAAAAAGCCTGATATTAGGCGAGCATTTTTTAAGAAAGCCCATTCTTCAAGCAATTATTTTTTATTTTTTGAATAAGTTAGAAAAATTTATCAGAGTTCTATAAGTAAAAATCCTATTATCCAAGAGTTTAAAAAAATATTTCAATTACTATTAATCGCCTATTGCGGAGATTTTGTAATTCAATTATAGAAAATGGTAAGTATTCAACAACATTTCTCCAATTTTTTTATTACTGAGTAATAGCAATTAAAAACTTCCCATTCTCCAAGGTTAATTTTACTGAGTATTCAGAAACAAAAGCAACCTCAAAAATAACCATCCAAAACTTCCAATTAATTCTCCTTAATGCTTGGAACTTCATCTTTGAATTCTTTTGGCAATCTCCAAAGATAAAATGCTTCTACTATCCCACTCCTCCTTTATCAACCCCTTCCGAAGGGTCGTAAACTCCCCTTCTCCCTCCCCTTATATTCTTATATTCATGGTTATTTTTGCGCGCGAGAGGGGAGAATGGGAAGGCTTAAAAGATAAATTACTTATAGAATAAGTAAAGGGCAAAAATAGGACTAAAAAAAGGCTATAATTCACCCTCCGCCTCTCTTCAAAACTTAAAATTATAATATTAGGTATTATTCTCCTAATAAGTTCTCATTTTGAGAGGTCATGAGTTAGGGCTTTGCCGTATCACTCGCCTTTTACTTCACTTCTTTTGAATTACCATCAGAAGGTTTACAAGTAAAGACAGTGTGGTAATGCTTCCAGTGTTTTCATTGGAACTTTTGCCCTGACTTATTCTCCTTGTCTAGCAATTTAGATAAGTTGAGAACCTAAATCATGTATTCCCTAGTCCGAATTCTTTGAGTTGAAATAACGGACTAGTGGAAAGTAATGAAGAACTTCCCAAAAGAAAAGACAATAATTTCAAATTATCATTTTCTCTTTTTGGAAGACTTAATCCTCCAAGTCCAATACTAATTTCAACCTTTCTTTGACTTCTTTCATCATCTCAGGTTCAACTACTCCAATATATTCTCCTAATCGGGTGGCTTTTTCTATGGTTAGTAAACGATTAAGTAAAATCTTGCTATCCTCATCTAGACCATTTTTTTTATTTCGCTTAATCAGTAATTCATAAGAGCGAATTTTCTCTAATTCTTTACTGGTTAATGGGGCGACAATTATTTCTTCATCATATTTATTCTGCTCATCATTACTAACTACCAAGGACGGACGGATTTTTTTAATCTTGCTGGCTATTTCTAATTCTCGTTCTTTCCCTTTCTTAGGCTTGTAGTTGCAATCTACTAATCATATTTCGCCCCGCTTGGGGATTTGCTTAATTTCTTTACTCATTTTCTATTCCATCCTCAATGGTTCCTTCTCAAATTTTATCTTCCTCCCGCATGGCTTTACTCCTGGCGGTGGATTGGTAATCAGCGGCTAATTGTTCTTTCTTTTTCTTCTTCAAATATTCTTTTAAAAGATTATTAACTAAGGGACTAATCTGTCCGGTGGGAATATTTTCTTTTACTTGCTGATAAATATTACTTTCTAATGTTATACTTAAATGTCTTTTTACCATATTATAATTTTATAGCCTAAAAGTATAGCCTAATCTGTAAATACATAAATACATATTTTTATCTATTAGTTGTTCAACTACTAATTAACTACTACCAAATAAATATTTCCTCCTCCTTGGTAAAATCTACTAATAATTGATGACCCCTTTGGCTAGTAGTAATAATTAGTTCATATTTTTTTCCGGTCTCTAATTCCTCTCATCTACTTTTTGGTATCTGATTAGGAAAGGTTAAAAATATTTCTCCTTCTTCACTTCTTAATATCAGATAATCGTGTCCGTATTTATCTAGACGAATTTCCTTTTCTTTAATAATTTGAGTAATAACTTGGTTAAGGTTCATAATAATTATTTTAATATATAAAACTATTTACTAGTTTTATACTACTTCTTAAAATCTAATATTTTGTGGAGGGCTTTTTCTACTAAATCTAATAATTCTGAACTATCACTAATTTTAATTTTTCCTCCTAATCTCTCCTTATCAATAGCGGTAATTTGATCGGTTAAAATTTTGCCCTGCTTATGGTCTAAATTAATTTTTACTTCCCAGGAATAAATTTTGTCTAAGGAAGAAGTAATGGGTAAAACAATTACTAAAGGACTATATAAATTCTGCTGATTATTAGAGAGAATAAATACCGGTCGGATTTTACCGATCTCTTTGCCAAAGGCGGGTTCTAAGTTGGCTCAGTAAATTTCACCTC